AAAAACGTAGGCTAACATTTCCAAATCGTTATTTTTGTACTTTTTGAAAAGCGTACACACACTTTCAACCCCCTCCCCCCAGCGTACATTTTGTACGCGCGTGAAAATGATGAAAATAATGGATGACCTCTTAGGGATTTTAAAATATTCCAAACCTGTGCACTTAAAAAAAAATAAATAAAAAATAAGTAAATAAAGTTAACTTAAATCACAAACAACACGATAGGATATAAAGTTTGAAAGAATAATTGGTATACTGTACTGTATTTCTGAAGTGCCATTCGTTTTAGGGTTGCTACACTCAGGAGTTACAATCGATCCAACAAGGGAAAAGCACTATCTATTTCCTTACATTCCAAAAAGGAGGATTTTGGATGCTATTTAAAATTTGCTGGAGATTGAAAAATTAACTGTGTGATCAATCTGCAAAACAGATTGATCACAAAATCAGAAGCATGATCTCAAACATCAGAACCCAGCTTTTATTGTTTAAAACTGTCGGGCCCCATTGAATGAACGGTATTATAGTTTATATTATATTTTGTTTAAACAATGTCAGGGGGGAGGCCCTCGCACTTGGGGCCCTGGCGTCCCCCCCCCCGTCAGCGCCTGAGCGTGACGCCACTGATGTAACAACTGCTGATTGTAGCAACCCCAAAAACGAACGGCGCTTCAGAAAATACAGTACAAGTGTACCAATTATTCTCGCAAACTTCATATCCTATCGCGTTGTTTGTGTTTTAAGTTAACTTAATTTTTTTTATTGAAGTGTACAGTTTTTTTGAATATTTTAAAATCCTTAAAAAAATTTTAAAAAATGCGAGCGTTAATATTGACCTTGGTACAATGTAAACCTGTAATCATAATGACTACAGGCCCACGTCATGCTTGGCTGATTAGTTTTGATTTACATTTCGCAAGTCTAGTGCCATACGCAGCAAAAGTCCATTTCTAGTGTTGTTGTCAAATGCATTTCAAACCAAGGCTGGTTTTCTATTTATGTTTTGAAATAGAATTTGGAGAGGGCATTTGATCAAGTCAGACCTACATTTTGAATTTGAATTACATTTTAAAGAAATTAGAACTACATTTTGAAAAATTTGAACTACGTTTTGAAAAATTAGAATTTCATTTTGGGAAACTAGATCTACATTTTGAGAAATTTACGCCTACGTTTTGATAAATTAGACATTGAATTTTGCAATTACATTTTGATTTTAACATGGACTTTTGCTGCGTATGGCACCCCATAGTTGTTTGCCGTCATCCTCCGCCCCTAAAATTCCGAAAATTAGGGGCGGGTTTTATTTTTTTTTTTTAAGATTTTTTTTTTTATTTTAAAAAGATCAAATGAAAACCGATTTTTCATCGATTTTGGCAAGGATTCGTGATGAATGGAAATTTTTACTATTTCATTTTTTTTTTAACAAAAAAATGATTGTTTTTCCATGAAAAAATGTAAACCGCGCAGTTTTCACGATGTTTCTATGATTTTACCAAAAAAAAAAGAAACATTTTTCCACCCGTCCATATATTCAATTTTTTACAATGTGAAAGCAAACAAACGAGTGTTTTTAATAGCCTTATAAATATAAAAAGCAATTTTCATCAATATTAGTCAATATATATTGTAATAAAAAGAGACCCAACTGGAATATGACACTGAAACTCTCTGCTGTCTATGTACTCTAGATACCTTAACCAACTACTGTAGTACAATTGAAGCTTTAATCTTATTGGAGATAATTTGTCTAACCTACATATTAGTTCTGTTACTGTACTGTAATGACAATAATAATGCAATTTTTAAAAAAATAAGTTACAAAACAATGCCTTGATTTCATTTGTTGTCTCAAGATTTGAATTTGAAAATAAAAAAATAAGCAGTTTATGAAGAAAAACTTTAGAAGTGTTTTTACTCAAGTGAACACACTGAGACCAGTAACAAATCTTGAAAATATCATATGGAATTTATTTACATAATACTTTGTGTATAATGTGATTGGTCTTAAAACGTCATGTGACATACAGTAACCAATAGCCATTCTTTTACAATTTTTTCCAGTTCTCGTATTTTGCTGTACACTTTGAACTCATCAGATGAAAGTTGACTCATGAATCTAGCATACCTGAGAGGAAAACAAATAGTATTATACTGAATACAGTATCTTAACTTTGAAAACAATTAAATATACTGTAGAAATATTATTGGTTTTTAATAGGAGAAAGTTTGTTGGACAGTAAACTAAGAGAAATCCACAATTTTCTCACAGATATCAAATGATAATTTAGTAGAGTGTAAAAGATACCTAATGTGTGCCATTGGTCGTGCTGAACCAGAGAATATGGGTACAATCCAAAAAATGTCTCTTAACACGTTGGCTGTTAGCAATAAGTATACTCAACCAACAGGGTGTTGCTGAGGGCGCCAAGGACGAGTATACTCATCAAAATCAAGCATTCTAGCGTTTATTACTTTGTAGAACCAGACTCAACAGCTAGTAGTTTGGGGAAGATACATCTACACAATGTAATGTACAAATGACATACAGTATGTATGTTTGTTGTGTTATGTTGCCGGTAGTACAGTACACTCGAGCGGCACAAGTGGGGGTGCCCTTTGAACATATACCAACCCATGCAAAAAGTGGACGAGAATACTCGCACTTGGCATAGTCAATGAAAAGTGCTTTCACAGTCAACAAGTTTACTCTTTCCTTAATATTTTCCAGCCAATTTATTAAACACATCATTTTGATGATAAATTACGAGATAAAATATAAAAAAAGTATGTTTGTCCATGTAAACTTGTTTTGGCACACGGTAAGGAGCCTTAAAATAAAGGTCTGGCAGTCAACAAAGTCATTTTATCCTGCAGACTCATTGTTACTGTGTACATTGTGAAAGTTGAAAGGTACAAAATGCAAACATCTCAGGGCATAGTACAATCTCAATATCAAATCTCCCTCTACAAGACCCCTAGAATTAGAACTTCTCCAATTGAAGACCACCTCCAATTAAAGACCACTTTTCTGTGGTCCCATATTACCAAGATGTCTTATCTTTATTATTCCCAAAAGTAGTCTTTAATTGGAGGGAGACCTGTTTTTATGTTTTATCCATGCCCCACATAGCTCAATTAATCAATCAATCAAATCAACATTTATTTCTTTCACAATATAAAGGATAAAAAAATAATTATTAACAAATATTTAACGTATTACATGTATATACAATGTTTTAGTAAATATAAATTAAATGGAAAGAGGCAAGTGCCCTGTAAGTAAAATTAATTGGAAACAAATTCCAATTAAAACTTGTGATGGGCTAGCCAAAAAAGATTTTATAGTAAATAAAAAATAGATATATAATTAAAGAAGAACTATAAAGACATATAAACATAGAGGAAGCACAATTAATTGATGTAATTCATAAATCATTAAAAAAAAAAAACACGATTAAGTATTACATTAATTATAATTTTAAAGAAGGTATTTTTTTAAATTTGTATGAGAAAAGTTTGTTTGTGTTGGACAATGTTATATTGTTAGGAAGATTTTAGCTGTCAATATAGTATGCTGGTTTTTTTTTTGGTTTTTTTTTTTAAGTACAAAAAAAAACATAATAAAAAGTTGAATAGCAGCTAAATGTGTTACTCTTTTACTTGTACAATAACATAATACAGGTCTGCCTCTAATTAAAGACCACCTCCACCTAAAGACCAGTCTTTTCAGTGATCCCAAATTAACAAATGTCTCTATTTTTATTATTCTACTATAATTAAGAGACCAAAGCTGCTAAAGACTATGAAAATCCAGGTCCCAAAAGTGGTCTGAGGAAGACCTGCATATAGCAAAGACAACCTACTTCATTCCATATTTTAATTCTCTTAAATTTTTGTTTGTATAAAAGCATACAATAAAAGGTAAAACAATTGACAAATCTTACCTTCGAGAAATGCGTATTCGTCAGTCAGATCCACTGAAATATCTGAAAATTAGAAGGAAGGGGAGATACTAATAATGTACCAGTTCTTTACATAGCTCACACCACGAAGATATACTGTACGGACTCCTTTGACGAGGCAGAATTTTAAACATGTTGTAAACATGTTGAAAGTGGTAACCATTTTATCAACCAACATATGAAACCTGGTAGGCAACCAAACCCAGAAATGAGCCTAGGTCAAGTGTTTTTTGTTTTGTTTTTTTAAATCCTGGCAGACCAATCAGTACTGGTCTCAAATGTCTCTGTGCACTGTGCTCCATGCTTACCTTGACACAACAAATTTTAACGTATCATGTTAGTGAGGTTTTCAACAAAAATTCATTACCGATATCTTTTTTCTGTATTGTTTTTCGTTTGCCTTTTGCAGTTTGCACATATGCAGACCTTGTGAAATGATGCAAAAACATCTCCTGTGAAATAGGGAAAAAAAATCAAGTAGTCAAGAATTTAAAAAGTAAACTTCATTTGTAAAACAAGTTGATCAGCTGATCAAATAATAGCAAACTAGTGGTAGCAAAGCTGGACTCGATGACCTGGCCAACATACAAACAAATCTATCTGTACCTTATTTGCAGTGGTGTTATGTAATATTAGTATGTAATACTGTACCCTCTATAATACAGTAAAGTAATATACTGTCTGTAAAAATAATAATTTTTTATGTTTGAAGAGTGTGTAAAAATAAGGATAAAATAAGAACATTTTGAGCCTGAAATCAGCCCAAAAATAAGAACACTTTGAGCCTGGGCAAAATTGTGCTGGTTCTTATATAACGAAACAAAAGTGTAAGCAAGCGCATTGAAGGACCATGTGTTGTGTTTTTGGAAAGCATAATAATGTAATAATAATATGAAGGCTAAACATAGGGATATGATTAAATAACTGTAGGAGCAGTCAGCAGCGCGATTAACATTTTGACAGCAAAAGTATACTAAGCATTAAATTAAACAAATAAAATGTAGGCCTATAAATGATAAAAATAGAGTAAACGGGACATAACATATGTAAAGGCAAAAATAATAGTTTTTGCCTTTGCCAAAGGTAGCTGGAATCTATTATACTTAAATAAAACTGGACAGTCATTTAGAATAATACTGTAGGCCTATTTATACAACAGTACTTTACAATATCGTCGCTCACATCACAAACTAACACAATCAAAGTAGATTGTGTTAGTTCATGAAATAAAAAAAGTGCGTCAAAATACGCGCTGTTGTTGTTAAGGACTTTTTGTGTGGTAAAGAATACAAAATTGCCTGACAACCAATACACGCTCGTTTTGACGCGCTACTGTGATTTCACGAACTAACACAATCTGCTTTGATTGTTTTAGTTCGTGATGTGAGCGACGATACGTTGACCTACTGTACAAAACCCATGACACGTAAAATAAAATGCTTTCTTAGGATGCATTATGAAATTGTCAAGTATGAGGTTACATTTTAAGCACTCCCACAGTACTGGATGGGTCAAGGACACTGGACTACAACCATTTAAATGTCACAGAATCATTGTTTTATGCCACGAAATCACTTATTCGTGTTACAAGTAAAATCAAAATATACTACAGTAATTATGTGCATTTCGTTACTCTTCTTCAAACGTAGTAGAAAAGCATAAACACAAACAGAAGCACCAGATTAACACAAAAATATACAGCATGTAAGTTAGGCTTGTAAGCAGGCGTTGGAAACTACCTGTTTTATCCTATTGGATGGTCGCACAAATTGATACAGGCTTACAGTATATTCGCCGAATGCTAGCCGAATGATGTAGTCTCGAAATGCTAAGGTCGCTGCCAAATGAAAAAGTCGCGCCGCACAACAAATGTGCTGAATACATAGTCATCGCCGAATGAAAACTTCGCCGCCACGTAACAAATGCGCCGAATGCAATGGGTCGCCGAATGGTAAATGCGCAACCGAATGCTATAGGCGCCGCAGAAGGCACTGTGGGGGTTCCATACGAAACGACCTGGGCCGAAACGACCCTGGCGGGCCAAATCGACCCAGGCCGAATCGACTCAGGGCCGAAACGACACTACACCAGATAATAGGCCTGGCCTATACTGGTACTGCTAATTATGTATGCTTGCTTTTGCGTTTGTTTGGTTGGGGTTGGGGAATGAAATAAAATAACATTAAAAAAAGATTAAAAGAGACCCTTCCTGCCTTAGTCTAGATTTCTGCTCCCATAATATGCCTAGCCTAGTCCTACTAAAACCTAAATTACGGAAAAAACTGGCTCTAAGCTCCTAGTCTATGTGGGCCATGCTAGGCTATGTGCTAGGCAGTACCTCCTTGGCCTACTACACTAGGCCTACTACTAGGCCTACTACTACTCTACACACGCGTGCCGGGACGGGTGAATTTCGTCCTCTCTTTATCTTACCGTAGCTTTCGCAATGAGAACAACCGAGTCTTGGCTTGCTAAAGTTACATCAGGATCTGTCTTAATTATATGTTTAATTCTTGTAAGTGGAAGTCTTGATATTCTGTTTGGTTTTTCATTTTTGTCACATTCACCTGTGTCGTTCGTTTCTATCTCTTCGGGTTCATCTTCAACTTCCATTTCCCGGGCTTCGTCGGTGGCGGTGGCGGCGGCCATGTTTCCATAACCTCTACAAAAACAACTGTCAATGCAGTATTTATATATGTCATTTTAAATACTTTTATGTGTTTTATAAATGAATATTTATTTTTTATTTAAAATTTGAAATCAAAATATGTATTTTTTATTTCAAATTAAGGAAATTATGTCTACATTAGGTAAATTTAACATTTAGATTTAAAGCCAAATGGATATTTGCACGCTAAATTGCTCTCTAAAAACAAAAGAAACATGTGATTTAAGCCTGTTGATTTCTATACAGTTTGACGCACACGTTTACGTGTAAATAGACACAACAATATCTCCAGGGTTACGCGTGACGCGTGACGCCGACATTCTTTTCCTGATACCATGACAACATGATCTTATTCTTCATACGATAATTCAGCATATTATAATAACGATTGTAGTAGAAGTCATTAGGTGATGAATAAAAAAATTGAATTTGATGAGGCCTACATCTTCCTTGCCTGTTGGAATACATATCACAGACATCTTTTAATATTCGAGTGAAGTAATTGTCATACATGTATTTTGTAATGCTTTTTTAGGCCCTGGCCAGGTTATCGACTGCTGCTTGGTCCCAGTGCCCACGGGAGTGCCCAAAGTTAATCTGACCACTGACCAAACAACAAATATCACTATAGGACCGACTTTTTATCTATAAAGGTTAGATGTCAGTCCATCTCTGACATCTACTCAGTTACCGTTTGTTCATCAAATTCAATATTTTTATTCATCACCTAATGACTTCTACTACAATATGATCTCGTCTTCCGCAATCACGATTCAACGTTTTGCTATTTTCTCTTAATAAAGAAATACAGGTACACTACACAGGCACGTCCCTGAATGATCAGGCAGAACATTTCCTTCTGCACTGAATTTAAATAATTTTAGTCAAGACATGCTCAGGTTGTGTTTAAAAATGATTGACTCCAGAGAGATTCCCCTAGACCCCGCAGTGGCGGCGCCACCGGGGTTAAGCCCCTCCCCCATCGGTCAAGCCCCCACTCCCCACATCACCCAAAGCACGTCGGGCAGTCGGACCAAAAAAAATAAGCCTAGTTTTCCCATTCCAGCCATTTCCGGACATCTAGAAGTCACAATTTTAAAGAAAAATCACACCCTCTCCCATACCGACCCCTGGCTCTGGCCTTTGGCCCTCAGATAAGCTGCGCGCTATAATAGTTACACGTCCCATAAATACCTGTCTCTTATACTAAATTATATCCTAGAGCCGCCACTGCCCCCACAGGGTTTTCTCATTGCCGGGCACGGCAAGTCAGTGACAGATCTAACGAAAATCGTAAAATTCCCCTGTCAATCCTTGGCATTTATATATTTTATTGTTCATTTCTTGTTTGTATACTGTCGTATTTTGCCGAAAATAGGTAAATCAAATCAAATCAAATCAAACTGATGTTGTACAGTATAGGCCTATTTCATAATAATTGTAGGCCGCTATTGAATAACTTGACATATAAAGGTATATTTCAGAACCAACTACGTGGTGTAGCTGGCATTTAGTATAGGCCTCTTCGCCATGCAACCCTTCAAACAATTGTACCGTTTTTAGGCTATGCTTGATAATTCTGCAGAAAGGCTTAAATTGTGGTGATCGATTTTAGTAAAATCAGGTGACTGACCCGTGTAGAATCATTAAGGACCTTTCGATTTGTGCGACGACGACGCGACGCTAGAACGGAATCACTCATGCATGACCGTCCTACCTGGCGTCCTATGTTCTCTGCATACGTAGATTTGGCCAAATTGCGTCCCAGAATCTGCTTGACGAGGTGACCTTAACGTTCTTGCATGCGCAGATGACTTTTAGTGACGTCATTACGTTCTACGCCCTACCATCGTCGTGCAATCGAAATCTCCCTATTAAAACAAAAGTGGAGGTAACATCTAACTAATGTTTACTGGCTTAACATTGCACATTTGGCTCTTTAGGTTGCTTGACGGTTGTTTAATGATTACGAAAAGGTTTTACCCAATAAATTTATTGATTTTTTACTCGTTTAAAACTGGTTTTATAATAATGCATCAAAGCAATCGTTATAAATGGGAATTAAACATTATTAATTGTTATTATAATAAGTATTTTTTGTGAAGTAGTACGGTAGCCTATCTTAAATTTATTCTTATTTCTATTAGGCCTATAGATAGGCCTTATCGTAACTGTGATTATATTAATGCGTTTTTATGCAATGGCTCAAGAGATGGAAATAATGTCGTTTTTCCGAAAGTCGATGTTGATGAAAATCAGGTGAAATATGATAAGTAAAGTATTACATGGTGCAATGTTTAAATAATATGTTGTTTTTTGGTTTTTTTCTTCTTTTTTTTCGATCGGCGTTAGCGCTCAAGGTTATATTAAATTTTTCATTTAAATTGAAAAATGAATAACACCAATTTCATTACGCAACGGCACGCGGCCATGATGATAGCAACAAGTGCGGATCCAGTAGGAGGGAAAACGTCCCCCACCCCGTGCATTGCCACTAAATCTTAAAATTTCAATGCATAATGAAATTAGCGCTACACACTATTCTGAGTTGTGCCCCGCGTTTAAAAAATTCTGGATCCGCCCCTGAGCAAACAACCAAAATTATAAATAGTCTTAATAGCTTGGTGGTCCGGCCGGCATTAGTGTCCGATTATGGACTTGCCAATCAAAGGTCATAGGGTCGCATTCACACAAGAAACATGCAAACGTCGATTTATCGAAAAAAAAAAAATAATGCGCGCGGGACGCATTATTTTTGTCCCGCGCGTCGTGCAAGTTGGTTCGCTCATGCAGTCTGACGTGAAAATCGAAGAAGTAGGCCTACATGATTACCATGATAATTTCTAAAATTTCAGTATTCCTGCCTCTCGAAATACAAAAGAAGAAGAGTTTTCTTCTTGCCTACAACACAGGCTCTTCGATCGTTCGTGGCATTGGCCACAAGAGCACCAGTTTAAATTATCGAGTTTCCACCTGCTCCTCATCGACGTTTGAATGGTAATTATGTGCTTCTTCGATTTCAACGTTATCTTCATGTCTTTGCGGTTTGAATAAAAAAAAAACCCCTTGGCTTATGTTCGGCCATTACCAGCTTCTTACAGCCGATGACGGTACTGACAATACATAGGACTTGATATGCATTAGCGGTTGTCAACAAAAAAGGGACAACCATGGTTAAAGCATGCACGCAAAGATCGTACGCGGGGAATACGGTACCCAACGCGGCGCTATTTACACGATCTGTTGTTACCTCGCCAGTGACGTAACGGTAAAATCTTATAATCCTATAGCTTTATGGAAAATTGCCAAAAACAAACTATTTTAAAGTTGATTCTATGGCATATAAAAAATCCCTCCAGAAAAAAAAAAAATCATCTTTCTAGGATTTCACCCAAGTTTCCTATAAATAAACGTAATTTTAATTACGAGGAATTTTCAGATTCTCCCAACAATTTTAAGCAAACACTTATTTTTGTTTTCAGGCTGGTGAGTTTTCCGGAACAGATATAGTGAAACTGCGTTCGATAATCAGTTCCCTTCCTGGTTTGAGCCCCATTCCCGGCAAAATTTCAGTTGTTAAGAAAAATCTGATTTTTTTTTATATAGGCTTAGGCCTATGTTATAAAGATTTATTTATAATACGAAATTGATAGTTTAACTGACTTTAAGCATTCCTAAACATCAAACAATTTAAAATAAGACTGAGAATTTGCTTCTTTTTTTTTTTAAATAAACGCGGATTAAATTTCAGAAAATAAAAAGTACAATATTTACCCACATGAAGTCAAAAAATATTATTGTAGAATTCAAAAACTACGGAAGCTTAAAGTGACCTTCCGCGTTTCCGAGTTTCCAAGATAATTATCATGGAAACATGGAATAAATACTTATTAAGACGTCTTTCCGAGATAATTTATCTCGGAAAGACGGATTTATGTGTATAAGAGCATACTGCCACAAGCTGAAGTAATCTTGACTACGCAGCGTGTATCGAGGTCATGCAGCCATTTTGTTTTGTCAAGTATTTACAAGTTTTCTATTCGATCCGGGTCGTCTTCGTTAAGTACGGTAGAGTTTTACCGCTGCGCAGGTGTGCGTGGTTTAACGAAGGACGTTCTATTATCAGGACGTTAACATCATTGTATAGGCCTACTAAAAATAAAATTCTTCCAAGTAGGCCTACAGATACTAAAGTAGGCCTATTTTTATATTTACCTATATAGCAGTATATAGGCCTACCTAATAACTGTAACACACGATCAATCAACATTACCAATACATACATCAATTTATATTGTGTACAATAAATTCATTGTACCATCTTTATTTATTTTGGTAATCTGAATATTTAGATAGGAATTTTATGACCATACCGGTATTATAGGTTTGTGGAGCATCATATTACATCATTGTATATATAATTGAATTGATATTTATAGTTTGTGTATTTTATCTGGTTTTATGTGATATTGGATTGGATTTATTCGGTGTAAACGCCAAGGTACCCACAAAAGTTTGAAGAAGATATTCCAAGCGGCGCTTCTGGTGGTGTGACCGAACAGTACATCTGTAATCCCCTACACTTTTCCAAACTTATACTGTGTGTTCTTTAACGGGCACATGAGCCATTACGGAATACGGTGCGTTATTGAAAAACACAAGGACAGCAGCGAAATAAAATAAAGACGGATTTATGAATGACTCTATCCGTAAATGTGAATGCGAAGCTCCGACCAATATGGAAATTTAGTGGTTTTAAATGGTTATTTATTCATTTTAGGGTATACAATAGGGCCTATAAAATATATTTAGGCCTAGGCCTACATTTTTGTTCTTCCCGACGGATGTGATCATTTTTCCCCGGGGGGCCCTGGCCCCACCACTATTTCCGAGCCAGGACCCAAACCGGAGTAGGGGATACCTCGTCGAACCCTTCTCAGCACCTGAGTCTCGGCCAGCGAGTCGAACTCGTGTGCCTTCATAGGCCTAGCTAATAAACTCACTGACACATGAAAAGAAAATAAATTGAATTAAACAAGTTTTTTAAAATTTGTCTGAAAATTATATTTTAACTTTTTAATTTACTGTAGGCATAGTGATTTTCATTTTTTTTTTTTGTGAAATATGAATTTTAACTCTTTATTTTGTATAATTTAAAAATAAATATACTGTACATTTAAACTGACTCAAATGATTCTGTAATTTATACTTTTAAACTCTTATTTGATATATATTTTTTACTGCTAGTTTTAGTGTGTAGAACGTTTTTAATCACTATTTTGCAGTTGTTTTGTCAGTTTTATGATATATTATATGTCCTGTGTTTGCAAAGACCCCATTGAAAATATTACTTCCGTGCTTTGCTGGGAGCGTCATGGTTTTGTGCAATTTGTTCAAGCTAAGCTGTTGACAGTATTTTGTAAATTGTTCGTTTTCTTGTGTGTATTTTATTATTCTGATTATTACGAATAAATTCAATACATCAATCAATAAATTATCCTTGTGTAATTAAAATACTGTATGATTCACTGACTCCCCTCACAGTTGACCTGTTCGCACAGCTTGGAGTCGCACAAATAGTATACGTACTGTTGATTACATCCGCTCGAGCCTGTGTGGTACCGTGTCATCACCAGGTTACGTTTATTTAGTGCATGGTGACGAATTTGCAATTCATTCCCCGAGTCGAATCCAAGAAGAGGAAGGAGGAAAGAGTGCAGCAATTATGATAAAGGACATACCAACTAAGGTGAGGCGTATAGGCTAATCAACAACCATTATAAATATATCATGAAAACCAACTTTCTGAATAATGTTATTAACATATTATGCTAACAAAATTGGGCATGCCTCCACGAGGAGGCTAGGTAGGCCTCCCACTATCCATCAAGGCCTGGATTGGTGTCAAAGCCTCATGGTTGTTTGGCAGGACTGTAATACTTCTTGGTTGGTAGGCCTTAGGATCTAGGCCTAGTAGGTAAAGATAAAACAACAAATATGCCTTTTTTTTTATACAAACTTGTTGTCCTTTTATTAGGGCCACACACGCTTTTCATTAGTTGATATTCGTGGTTTATTAAATATTATAGCTTGTACTCTTGCTTTAGTTGGCCTAGCCTACTATTGTAGCCTGGCTAGACCTCTACCAAAGATACTAGAAATACAAGATATACAAAAAAAGTGTTCCACCGAAATGCATGGTGGGAATACGAAAAATGGGACGCCCCCTACAGCTATTAACATATTATGCTAACAAAATTGGGCATGCCTCCACGAGGAGGCTAGGTAGGCCTCCCACTATCCATCAAGGCCTGGATTGGTGTCAAAGCCTCATGGTTGTTTGGCAGGACTGTAATACTTCTTGGTTGGTAGGCCTTAGGATCTAGGCCTAGTAGGTAAAGATAAAACAACAAATATGCCTTTTTTTTATACAAACTTGTTGTCCTTTTATTAGGGCCACACACGCTTTTCATTAGTTGATATTCGTGGTTTATTAAATATTACTAATGCTTGTACTCTTGCTTTAGTTGGCCTAGCCTACTATTGTAGCCTGGCTAGACCTCTACTCATTATGACTCTTATGAGTCCTATTCGCACGGTAGACCTAGCCAATCAGCATTTGACGTTTCATGACGTCTAAATGTGCGAATAAGTTCTTATTCCCAATTAGCACAGTACATCGTGAATTAACAGTATTTAACACGGTATCGTCTCAAAAGGTTTAATGACCTAAATATTTTACGAGAAACTTACTTAATTTGTTACGGGAATACCTAATCGAACCGAAATACCTTTTTAGATATCATACAAACATTGTCTACCGTGCAAATAGTAAATAATACATTATTCGCACGGTAGACGTAGCCAATCAGCATCGTAGAATGTAATGACACTGTCTTTAAAAAAAAAAGTGCCAATATTAAAAGTTTTCTTCTTTGTTTGGCTTCTGGCAGTGTTCACAATCACAAAAGCAGCCATGAAAGAAGCCTGATGTCAATAAAGGTCAGTCAGGCATTTATTGACTATGTACAATTCATTTGTTGATTTCATTAAAGAAATTTCAGGACGAAAATAACCTTGTTGTAGAGTACTGTACATACAACAATCTTTCGACAATTATCACAGCTCCCATGGTCTCTAAGCGCTATGTGCTTTGTGTATATAATTAGGCCTACAATCAATGTATCCAGTAGCATTTCGAAAAACACTCCCACACATTGGAAAAGGTCCAAAAGGCAGTGAAGAATGTACATCAATATAAATCTTATTTTCCAGTACAGTATATAGTACAGTACATATATTCGGTGGCGGATCCAGGATTTATTATGGTAGAAAGGGATTAGGAGAGACATTTTTGGAGATGTGCGCGTCTACAGGTGCTAAGTGCAGCACGACTGCAGCCCACAAAATTAAAACCCTATTAAAACTGCACATAAAATTGAGTAATTTTGCATCATTTTAGCATTCTCTCATCCTCCTCTGTTCCAATTCCCATCATGGTTGGTGCTAAGTAATTAATTTTCTTTTGTTTCCCCATTTAATATTTTTGAATGGAACAAAAATCAGTATCACTACTAGGCCCTATGATAGGGGACTATAATATCCAAGTACATACTCCACAAAGGCTTTTTTCATGGCAATTTATCAAGGATTGCTTAAGAAAAGAGTAAAAGGTCTGCAGACACAATGCTAAGCTAGGACCTATTGCACTTCAGATAGAGTTATCGAATCGACTGTCTGTGCTGTGCCCAACTCATATGGTATGCCATGAAATAATTATTATACAGTATCTCTATCTACAACATTCTACCGTGTGAATAAATTTTTTTCGACAATTCGCACGGTTCCGTGCGAATTAGCTCTTATGAGTCTTATTCGTACGGTAGACCTAGCCAATCAGCATTTAAGGTTTCATGACGTAACGGCTGTCATACACCGTGAGAATAAGTTCTTATTCCTAATTCGCACGGTACCGTGCGAATAACCTCTTCTAGGAAAAGGCCATACCAAGGTGGTAGGGAATGTGGGAAAGACAAATGGCGCGTGTTCCCACAGTATCAAATTTCATGTGACAAAAAATTTAATATGCTTATATTTGGGTGTAATACTAAAATAGGACGTCAACACCCATATATATGGGCACATCACACAAATTTTGTCACCTAAGTTACATTTGATATTGTGGTGGCGGACAAAGGCTTATTATTACACTCTTATTAGTCTTAATAATTGATTATTGCATCATTTCTATTGTGTCTTGCCAAGGAACTCATATATCGAAGGAGTTTGAATATGTACTGAAAGTGGAAGTCATATAGGTACATTTATTTATTTTGCCATAAATGAGCTAAGCCTAGGGCCTAGATTAAGGCTCTCTTTTTGCATTTCATTATTGTTTGTCTATATGATGACAAAAGATACAGATATATGATGATAATGAACATTAAAATAAAATGACAATAGTATTAGTAATTCATTATAAACAGGTTATGTTAATAGGCAAATATAATAACCAAAAATTTGAATATTTTACTAGTTAAATCATCATTACATTTACACTAAACACACTTGTCACTATGTATTATCTTGAGTACTGTACAAAAGGTAGAAACTGGCTTGGAATTAACTTCCTCCACCATGCTTTGATTGCAAGTTGCATTTGAATTAAATTAACTCTAGATTGCAGTTACCAGGCGGATCCAGAATTTTTCCCAACAAGGGGGGAATTGGGTACAACATTCAGAATAGATAAGTGATTAGCACATATTTCTATATATAACATTGGCCGTCGTTAAAACCATGCCCACCTGCGCAGTGGTAAAATCCTACTTAATGAAGACGACCAGTCAAATAGAAAACTGGTAAATGCTCGACAAAACAAAATGGCCCATTTATACCTGTATGCATTAAAAATTTAAAATTTAGTGGCAGAACAGGTGGGTATGGTACGTTCCCCTTTGCACCCCTACTGGAGCTGGGCCTGGTTATCTGCACGCCAATAATTAGATATAGAAGTCTAATCTTCGTCAAACAAACAGACTGCAACAGTCCAAAATGTGTTTCCATGAATAAATAAACTGTCGTTATTTTTGTTATATCATTTTGCAGATATTCAATGACATATAAATTGAACGTAGTATCATTTATGCTTACTGTATCTATGGCATTATTGAAAATAATTGAATTGCAATTAAATAAATTAAAGACTTCCCTTCTTCAACACAAAGGAGTTTATTTGATTATCTACTAGGATTCATTTCATTATTGTGGCCTTGCAGTATGTACAGTAAATTCCTCTTGTTTGAAATTTTAAAATACTGAATCATGCAAATGCTGTAAATATTAAAATTATTGACTGCATCATATTGATTAAAACCATCTTTCTTACTGTACTGTATGTAGACTTTGATTTGGTTTGTTAATAATTAATGTTCTTAATGTGTTGTGTAGAGTAACTGTGTGTTTGCTTTGTGTAAAGAATGCCTTACCCCTCATTATTAAAAAAACAGTGATTAATTTCTCTACTTATGGCTAGTAATTTAGGAAATGGCACTCTTAAAACGTTAATGCAATTTTCTATTCCGGCTGGCTGCATTAACTGCTTCTTATAATAATAACTGATGCAAACCTTCCTTATAGCAAGTACTGTACCTAGAAATCATCTAAAAATAACAAATTGTTTAAATCTTGTCTTAATATAACTGAATAATAAATAAAACATTTTTTTTTTAAATAATCTTCCTACAGTAAATACAATAAAATCTTAAACTTAAAACTGCTAGGTCATATTCGTAAAATATTGTTGGAAAAAAAATTTAAATAAAATGATAATCAATAAGATGAACTGGTGTAGATGTTGCAGTGCCTAGAGTCGGATCAAGAGGAGCATGCCCCCCCCCCCCAAAAAAAAAAATGAGATAGGAAGAGCAGATAGAAAAGAAAAAATAATATTGAAAGCACTGCATGCTATAAGCATTGTAATTTGTGTACTCCTATTGATTTTATTCTACAATATACTACAGTAGACACCCCATTAACCCCACTTCGCATGTCATATCCATGTACCCAGATTTTTCTGTGAATCTACAGTACTGTACATCTGAGGCTTGTAGGCTGATTGTACTATCCAAACCCACCAGCTCAGCAGTTGTTTTTACACTGTATTTTATAGTATGTGACTGGCTCTGGCAAAACCATCCGTTTGTTAGAAATATTCAAAATTGAGTTTTTGGTAGTTTTATTTAGATTCTGCATGAATGCATTCTTTTTTAAAACATTGCTTATTTGTTGGAAATTGGTTGAGTACCAGGAAAGAAATGAATATTTAATCAAGGACTTTTAACTGTTACCAGGATAGGAAGCTGGCTGGATTAAGCCGTCCAGCTTGAATTAGCCTTATGTTCGGTATTGTTATGCAAATGAGCCAGATAAGTACAATCTGCACATGCTCAGAAAATCAAAACTTTCCTTAGCCACACCATGGCCACACTGCGTATTGGCTAGGCGTACAGCTAGGCCTAGCCGAGAATTACGGTACGGTAAAACAAAGCAAAATAAGGGTACTAATTTCACTTGGAATGCAAATCAATCATACTTACACACTTAAAAACAAACTAGTCTACCAATAAAATCACCTGCAAGTTAAGATATAAGGCAAGTACAGTTATGTCTACAAATTTGATTTTAAATTGATGTGATTAATAATAATATAGTTCTTAACCGTTCTGAATCAACAGAACGAGTGGCTGTCATTGACTACCACAGTAGTTGACAAGCTTCAACAGTGCAAAACAAAAGAAGGTCCCTAGAGGGGGAAAATATGTTAGCTGACCTTATATTTCACTTTCACATTCCTTGTTTTTGTTTTCTATTTTAGTATTAGCTAACCGTCTAATTACTTACTTATCTTCTCTTTTACTTTCATTCTACGCTTCCTTACTTTCCGTGATTCCTATTTACCTACCTTTTCTTTCTTTAGTCTCCCTTTTCCTTTTAATTACCTTTTCTTTCCTTTCCCCTTTCTTTCTAATGCCTCCTTATGCATTGCTGCTTTAGCTTAAATTACCTTTGTAATATTTCCTTATCTTTCTTCTTTTTTTTTGTTTCCTATGTAACCTTGATTTTTCTTGTATTTTCTTTATTTCTTTTCCTTCCTTTTCATTTCTTATGCTTATTCATACATATCTCATTTTATTTTATCTTAACGTTTCTTTCATATCCTGATTCTTTCTTTCTTGTCCTTTTCTTTCTTTTTACCATTTCTTAGGTTGCTTTGAATAACCTTTCTTTTTCTTTCTTATAATTCGTTCTTTTCATTCCTTTTTCTTTCTCATATTTACTTTTCTTTCATTTTCTTTCTTTTGGTTTTAGTTCTTTCTTTACTTCTTTCATTCTGTTTTTTCTCACACCTTTCGTTGGTGTTTTTGAATATCCTTTCCTTTTCTTTCTTATGTTTCATTCTTTTCTTTCCTTTTTCTTTCTTATATTTTCTTTTCTTATCTTTCTTTCTTTATCCTTCCTTCCATATAATTAATTCCTTTCTTATAATTCCTTCTTCTTATTCTTTCCATTTCATTCTTATACCTTTTCATAGGTGTCCTTGAGTATCCTTTCATTTTCTTTCTTATGATTCGTTCTTTTCATTCCTTTTTTTCCTTATATTTACTTTTCTTTTCTTTTCTTTCGTTTTCTTTTTTCTCGTTGTAGTTCTTTCTTTTCTTTTCTTTCATTCTTTCTTTCTATTAAAATTAAAATGAAGTTATCAACTTACTAGTGCATTAAAATTATTCATATACTTACTACTATATAAAATTAAAGTGTATTGCTCACAACGCCAATATTTGGATTTTAATACGCGTTTTCCACAAATCGGTAGACATCTTGAAGTGATGACAAACAGCCTAAGTCAGTGGTGCATAACAAACAAAAATAAGATAAGCTAGGCCTAGCTGCTGTACGCCTAGCCGATACGCAGTGTGGCTAAGGAAAGTTTTGTTTTTCTGAGCATGTGCAGATTGTGCTTATCTGGCTCATTTGCATAACAATACCGCACATAAGGCTACTGTAAATCAAGTTAGACGGCTTAAACCAGCCAGCTTCCTATCCTGGTAACGGTTAAAAGTCCTTGATTTAATTCATTGGATATATCAACCATGTAGGTTTTGAGAAAACAACTTTCAAGGATTCTAAAATCAATAGATTATTATTAAGATTTGTATTTTTAAAATAATTTTGATATACATTTCAGTTAGATTTAATGATCGATATTATTGCAAATTGTTGTTCAATATAAATGATGTTCAAAATTCTGATTTTTAAACATTTTTAGTGCTTCTGCAAAATTATAAGATTGCGACCGATTTTGCGGCAGATTTTGCCAGAGCCAGTCACATATAATTAACTCAACATTTTACATTTCTTACTGCCATAATCATTATTCATTAAAATTATAGGCTTACATTTGATTTTCATTAAGTACAGAGTGATTACTCCATTCATTATTCATTGAAATTACAACTACTTTTTTTTTTTCATTGTATGTACAGGCTGATTTTACCAAGGAGTTGAGTGATGCAGGTGATAAACTTGTTGTGGTGGACTTCTATGCACAATGGTGTGGACCGTGCAGAATGATTTCCCCTAAAATAGAGGTAATGTTAGTGCACTTTGTTTTGTGAAAGAAACAAAATATACTTCCCATTTGCACTCTTCAACTCTAAAATTCCATATTACCTGTAGCTTTACGTTGTAATCTTCACTGGCTAGGTGAGACTTTTTTTATACATTACAGTACATTGTTTTGCAAACCCGCCCCCCCCCCCCCAAGATGCCCCCCACCCAAGATGATTTCGAATAAAAATGAAATTTAATTTTTGACCAATTAGTGCACCCCTCGCCTCGAAAAAAATGGTTATTCTCTACCCAGGATTGTAAATGGGTACCCAGGGGTTCACTACTGGGGAAGAAAAAGGCGGCGTAGAAAGGAACTGTCCACCCTACCACATAATACCGCTGTTTAGTACGATGGGCTAACAGCTCATTCCCCTACGTGAATGTGGGACTACCTTTACCTTTATTACGCCCACCGCTGCCTTATCAAATCTCCAAAAGTTTGTCCTTATTATATAAATTTAAACATCCCATACACCTGTTTACATTCAATAAATGTAAACAGGTGTATGTGTTCAAAAAATAAAAAAATAAGTTTGCGAAACAATTTACTGTATAATAAAATCTTGTCCTAGCTATAAAAAAAAAAGTGTTAAGTTTAAAAAATTTCTGCTAAGTATTAACATTACAGCACTTTTTTTCAATTTACTTTTATACTGTGATACCTTTCACTTACTAATCTTCATCCTTGTTATTGGCCCTCTCAATGCCTTCGATCTCTTTCATAAAGTAAATAAAACCATTCCAAAGTTTAACACAAGAACAACTTATCGAAAACACCTTGCATTTATCAGACTTTTGATCATTTTTTTAATCTGCTTTATAAATTTGTGTATTATGTTCTTGTTATGTGGAACTCCAAAGCAATATCCTACAGTACCTCTTGATAAGGGCCACAACATTTATTCAAAATATAATCTCTTTAAAATTGCCAATGTGCTCATGGAAGCAAAAAATCTTGGTTGATGTTTCATTTCATTTATTTGCTCCAAAGAACATTAAAACTGACAAACACAAACAAACGCAAAATTACAGAGAGAGGAAAAAAAAACAGGATTGCCAAAATCCAAATCACTGTCTAGTGGCTCTACGATGCCAATTACAACTAAAATTAAATAGCAAGTTTTAGTGTTCCACTGTTTGTTCCGTCGTCATTTATATTACCTTCTTCTTATTTGATTTTACTGCATACAAGCTTAAATACATTTGATCTCCCTAACCGCTACCTGTCTTGTGCTGAATTTGTTTCTTTTTTCTCTTTTCCAACTTCCTGGATCGGACTGTCTTAGATTCCAAAAAAGTAATACTTATAACAATTTTGTGGCATCCTAAAGCTACATTCAGCAATTATTATAATTGTTTCTTCAAAAATGATTACTTTCCTTGTGTTTGTCGCAAAACATTGAATTCATGTGATTGAATCCAAAGATGGTGTCAAAGTTCATACTACGTTATTATCTCAGTTAAACACTAATTCACTACTGGTTATGTATTCTCGGTTTTTAGGAAATGAGTAAGGTGTATACGGATGTTATCTTCTTAAAGGTTGATGTCGATGAGAATTCAGTAAGTCAGAATATTTCTCAATTTATAGGCTGCTTTCAAGTTTCATAAATAAATTTATTTGTGAAATCAATAAAAATCGATGAGTACTGTAATGTAGTTCAAATTAGATAAGATGCAATGATGATGACATGGAATGCTAGCATTGGGTGATTAAATATTTGGGATAAGATTAAAATGATGTGATATACTGTAGTATGAGAGAAAAATTGAATGATGGGATAAAATGTTATACCAGTACATGAATGATGGGATAAAATGGTGGCATGAAAACGATGGGATATACTGTAAGGGTATAATTAGATAATGGGATTGGAAGAACGGATTATGATAGAATGACGTAATTGGGATAAGATGATGAGGCAAAGTTGATAGGATTGGATAGTGGGATTGAAGTATTGAAATGGGATGATAGGATATGAAGATGAATGCTGAAATTATGATTCTAATTCTAGGATAGGATGATGGGATAGGATATAAAATTAAAGGTAGGATTGGTTGGTAGGATGATGGGATTTGAATTATGCTGAAATAGGGTGCTGGGATTGGATGATGGGATATGGTGTTGAAATAGGAGGATATGATTGGATGATAGGATTAGATAATGTGATTGGATGGTGATGTTTGACCTTGTGATTGAATGATGGTATACACTGTAGAGTTGAGTTATAGGATTGACAAATTATATAATTTTGTTTTAAATAGGACACTGCAGAATCTGAAAGCATATCAGCAATGCCCACCTTTAAATTGTACAAGAATTCTAAACTTGTAAGTGTTATAAACAATTATCATTTGTCGGGAGTCCAGAGCTGGGCCCCACCTGCTCCTTACTAAAGACATTCGTGTCGTCGGCAGTGCACGGTAGTGGAGCCGAGGGCCTATTCTGAGGTGGAAGCTACCGGGGCTAAGGATAATGCTTAATGGAGTGCTGTATGCACCCTGGTATGACGGAGATGTTTTGACATTAGTGGGTGGAGCCCTGTTCTGGACACATATACCGATAGCGTACATGCATATCGGAACTGTTTTAGTTGAAGTAGTTTACGTATAAATTATTTAACTGCTTGTTGAAGTTAGTAAAGTGCATTTACCTGTAGGTTCTTTCTGCAGAACGCTATAAGAATGGCATTTTATTATTTTTGTTATTATTATTATTATTATTATTGTCATTATTATTGTTATTGTCATTATTATCGTTTTGTGGTATTATTATTATTATTGGTACGGTTATTATTATTATCATCGCTTATTCAACACCTACCAGTGCGCCATAAAAAGATGAAGTAAGAAACTCTGCAGTAGGAACAGATCTAGCAAATAATGCTCATATCTGAACTATGACAATCTAATATTCACCATCAAAATGTTCGTAATATTCCATCAGTTATTGATTGATCCTTTTTTGACCTAATTTAATGTAAATTTCTGCAATGAGAACCCTAAATTAGCAATTATATTGTATTAGACTTGAGCCTAGGCTACATTATATGTACAACGAAGCTCATTTCGGCCAACGTTGACACTGTAGCTCTGCTACAAGTGCTGTATTCATTGTTTTTATGGATCACATTCACAGGCTTTTCATTGGCATAACGCGCAAAAATCAGCAAAACACCCACATTTTGTAATGCTGCCTAAAAGGAGAAAAAATTTTCAAAACTAAGTTTGGTTCAGATGTCGATTATTCTTGTATTAATTATTTGGTGGAATAAATATTTTTTTTTAATGGTGGATACGTCATATAAGAGTGGAGTTAAAAAGCTGAGTGGTTAAGATGCTTGCCTTCTGATCCCAGGGTCCTGGGTTCAATTCCTGTCAGAGCATGGAACTCCACTCCATAAAGCCTCATAAATAGACTTAATTTAAAGAGCATCATTCTCAGCCTGTAAGTGGTGAGTGTACTTGCTGTTGGATGTGAATTTAAAAAAAAAACAGTAGGGTTAAGTGCCATCCAGGTCACATAGAATTTTAGTGACTCAAAAATACAATTTTAATATTACAGTTTAATGTTTGTTGGCTCAGCAAAGAGTAGTATTTGTTAACATCATCATTCTTTAAAGATGTTTCTTTATCTGTTATAAAAAACTAAATGAATAAAATTCAACAATAATCAAATATCTTGGTTTTTTTTTCTATATATTTTAGGTTGATGAGTTAACTGGTGCATCTGAGGTAAAAATCAAGGAACTTATTGAGAAGCATAAATAAGAAATGAAAATGGAGCAATTTTTATTTTACTACACCATTGAATTTTAGAATGTACGTCTTGTAAACAGTTTAATTGGTATTAGATTCAGACATCACAACTGCCTGTTGATCATCATTTTGTGAGGTTTTCTTATGAAAAATATTTGTAGGCTTAAAATAGTGATAACAATGTGTTGATTGTAAAATTCAAACATCCTATTAAAGAGGCTAAAGTAAGTTGCGCATCCGGTCTCACGCTGGTATGATATCTATTAAGAAAACAATGTTGTACATATCATGTGCTGTATAAATCTGTACCTGATTGCTTGACCAAAAGTCTATCAAACATCTTTTCAGACTCATCCTTTCAATATTACTAAAAGCTACTGTGTCTTTCTAGTGTATAACCTAGATTTGTGGAATAGTTGTAATCCTTTGTATAATCATTGTTTTTACTAATTGTATCTATTACTATCTTCAGTGGTGGATTTAGGCGTTTCTCGCCACAATCATCATTCATAATTTAACCATTTATGTGATAATTACAGTATCAAATGGAAATTCATTAAAAATAAAGAAGTACAAAACTACTGTAGTATATTGTAGGTCTTTTACAGTGTTATTGCCGGTTAATCGATAGTGTTCAGAATGTTCTTGTCACCTGGTGTGTTTACTCTGTTCTTTTGTTTCCACAATAATATATATGTTTGGCCTTTATTGTACATTATATTTTGGAAGAGTGGTGGATCCAGAGGGTTTCAAAAGGGGCACTCGCCCTTCATTGGCAAGTGCCTTAAAGTGAGAAGCCTCAGTGGAACATCTCAATCTTTCCCTGTTAGACCGTAGGTCCCTCTATGTTCCTCATGCCAAAAAAAATGCACCTCCTAATGTAATTTGAAACAACTGGTGGACGACGAGAGTTGCTGGTACCGGGTTACTGGGTAGCACAGACACGAAGGGACCCTTAGGGACAAAGAAAGTCATTGATCGAGTTCCTAGTCCACATATCAAGCGCCCTGAGCATCTGACATTAGATGGATATGTGCGCTATATAAAACTATACTATTATTTATTACTATTAACTATTGTATGAATACTGTATACGCTTTCGGGAAAGAATTGTATGAGATTTCTGTTATGACCACCAAAATATTTTTGGTGCTTGCCACAGGAAGGATGTGAAGACAAAGATGACGATGATAAAGAGGATGATGACGATGCTGATGCTGACAATGACAATATAATTGGCCATATGATGAGGAAATTGGAACAAACTCATTTTTTATGTTGTATTTGCAATATATTACTGTTTGTTTCATATATTCAACCTGAGGTTCTTTCTGCTTTGGACACCATTGAGAATAATTTAACGTTTTGCTGATTTAATGGGTCGTCCATGAATCCATTCTTTGTCTAAACTGGCAATTCTTTCTTGATCTCTTTTTTATATATTGTATATCATTGTTATTATATGTAGTACTTTTATTGTTACAGTATTTGATTGGATGCTATTTAAATATTAATTGAAGTAATTTTGGTGTATCCGGAGAGTATAGAATTGCCAGAGGTCCGACTAATCTCATTTTGTATGCACACAATGAAACGTTAAAAAGTGTTACAAAATAGGGGGCGCCCTATTAGAATTTAAAAAGAGCTTGAAACTCGTCTTCTGAAGGATACGCCTCTTTATGGTAGTACTTTTTGAAATTGGATTATGTTGTTCCAACGAAACCTCGAGAGTCGTACTTCTTGCAGTTTTATACTTCTTTGGTGTATCTACCGTACATTCAATCGTGTCATAAACATAAATCTCTTGATAGAACTTGAAGCTTGGAATCATACTCTCAGATTCAAAAAAGTATAAAACCTGATGGGGATAAGGATGATGATGCTGCTGACAATGAGGATAGGCCTACTGACGATGAGGATACTGGCGATGACGACAAAGATGCCGTTTTTTGACCTGTGTCTTATTAAAATTACAAAATATGTCAATTTTTATATGAGCAATATTAAGCTTTTTTTTTATCTATCAGAAGGCCTCTAATTTATCTGTGTTTTATCATTTTCACTGATCTTTTTATTGTGTTAATTATGTTCTAATTCCAGATTTCATAGTGGTATAAGATGCTTTTTTAACAGAAGCCATAAATATTCCTAGACGGCGCGGAATAATGATACAATTATACACACGATAGGCCTATCACGGAAGGAAAAAACAAAGGCTAAGCAGCACTGGAATTTTAAAATGCTGTCGACATTTCTCATTAAAGCTTTTTCGATACCGTTAAAATGTACCACTTCATATTTGTGTGTTCTATGTCCTCTTAAAATAGATTTGAAAATATGGATAACTACTTAATTACATCAAATGACACTTAATGGAATGTTCGCATATTATGCAATTAATGTTTATTTATGTTTTTGAAGGCAGACTTACAGCGTTAAGTTTTACAGTTGAAGTTCATACAAAAATAGATTTCAATTATGCAGTTCAAATAGATAAAATGCAGATACAACACAAAAAACGGTGAGAGAATATGAAATCTGCAAAGTTTATCAATAAATGTGTCTTAAAATTCTACAGCTAAAAGACAATAATTACATTTTCATATATGCAAATGTTGTATTGAACAGCTCATGAATTATGCAAATCACGTAATGTCGTAGGAAAACTCACTTGCGTACTTCGAATAATTACTTGAAAATAATTCAAACATTAATTGTTGGTAATTGGATGGAGTATGGATGTTTGTGAAAGGTTCGGGATCATTTTCTATGTGAACTTTTAAGTTATATTGTACCAGTACAACACATGCGAGTAATTGTCAGTGCTTATATTTTACACACCATCATATGTCTGTATGTGCATAGATTTTAAGATATCCAATCTGCATATATTAATCTATTTCACAAACAGTTAATATATAATAATTGTATGTACACTGTAAACAACACATACTGTACTATCTTTAGTAACGATAGGTGTGACATTGAAATGTTGCTGAATTATTAGTTATAGTGCAGCAGAAGAGTTTGACTTCTCGTAAATTTAAGTATCTTACATACTAATACAATATTAACACTTTTAATTTTTTTTAATACATCAAACATGTTAATCCAATTAACTGCAAATTAAATAATACAGTTGGACTATGTGGGTGTTTATGTAGCAGAAATATAGTTATGACCGAACAGGAAAAGGATAAGTAAAGAAAGGAACCAAAAGAAAATGCATTAAGTTACAAAATTAAATTTAAAAAAAAAGGTAAAAAGAAAAGAGATAAAAAAAAGTCGAATACTCTACATAATGTTTGTTTAATTGAATTTATTTATTACATGTATTTATTTGGAATTTATTTGAAAAACCATTAGGCAATTTAAGTACGTAATCCAAAATAGCCATCCGAGTATGAGGTTTTCGAATTAATTAAATAATAGAAAACGAACGTTATTTGATTATACATTGAAAGTGACACAGTAATATGCAAGCAGAAGAAAGTATGCATTCGTCTTCACCCGTTAATAATATAGGTATAATAAGCCATTCGTGGTTGGTGCTGCGCATGCTCATATCCAAGGTCAGCATAAACCTATGTTGTGTGTATGGTGTTTATGTCAATTGACCTTGATACGAGCATGCGCGGTTGGAACTACGAATTGGCGTATTTATACTGTATTTGTTCTATTCTAAGCCTACACCACCGCTTCAACCTAGCATGTGGTTGAATTGTCCGTATAGAATATGTCAATATATCGAATTAGCCATTCACAATTATATTATTTTCACAATTGTACGATGATCCTTTTATTCCCTTAGAATTTGTACATCAAACATTTGCAAGGCTATTCATAGTTTTTTTTGTCTAGTAAGCCGAATTATGCAGTTGCACATCGCACGCATAGACAGTTTTTCTCCGTATATGGCAGAGTAATATTGTAAAAATGTACGAAAGTTGTGTGCAACGCCTTCCCATTGTTTCTGCAGCGTGTGAAAAAAACTGGCAATTGTGAATCGCTCCTAACTGTTCTTTTTTATAATTAATTATAGTATTTAAACACTTAAATTCAATATCTACTGTTACCAGTCGAATAGGTATTCATTAGTTTACTTAAAACTATTTAATTCCATGCATTAGTAACAATGTAATGGGTGATAATAATCTCTATATGTTCTTGGGAATATATTTGTTTCTTCCGAAATATAAAATTTATATTTAAATATTATTCGAATTGATATAGCCTAGGTAATAAGAATAGGCCTTACATAATACGCTGATCGGGTTTCATAGAATTAAATACGTTATGTTTACCCATGCATAGATATAAACAGTAGATATTACACACGATGAAAAATAAATCGATAGAGCGCCACCAACATGTAAGCTATAACTTGGTTCGATCGTTGGCGGCGCTGCTTTTAAGAAGGAGAATAAGGCCTCGAGGTTCAGGCAAATAATAGCGGACCTTTCCAATATCCAAGCACAGCCTGGACTGTTAATAGTGAATAAAGGAATATACGTGTTTATAACAATACGATTACTGAGACAGCATGTTCAATTAATAAATTTACTAAAATACATTTTGCAACGTAAGCACTGCATAGCTATAATTGAGCGTCATATACAATATGATTAGAGATGTGCTATGAAAGCTCGTTTTTGGCAGATGAGTCCAGCTCGTTAACAATATATCAAGTATAAAAGATCACGGACAGAATATTTCTATAAGTTTACATCAATTCATACCCAACACACATTCGAAACATTTACAATATTTACAAATACAAACACATCATTTTGAAATATAACATTATCTAAGAATTAATGGGTCTACGCACCATTTTGCATATAAACTCAGATGTAATGTTTTAAAACAAACAAAATCAGCTAGGCACATTTAAAAGTTACAAAACTTCGATATGTCATTACGTTTGATCCAACATCAAAATGAAAGTTAATTCAAAAATATCGAAGCACCATCTGAAATTTAAGACCATAATGCTTTATCAAACATTTTTGTATGAACCAAAATTGCACATACTAAATCACAATACCCTTTGTATATCATAACAAATTTATTCTTTAAATAATTTACAAATTTAAGTACAAAATGGAAACGATTCATTATGTAACAACAGTACAAAATAATACGTCCATACATAGAATAGTGATACAAACATTTCGATTCCTATTTAATTTATGGAGGTGCTCCAGTAACTCAGTAACTTAATTTAATTGCACAAAATGTATTATATATTAAATGATTCTGATAATATTCTTTAAAAGTGTTATGCCATTTCCTTTACTTATCGAACAGTTTTCTTGAAAGCTGTACATTATAAACATAACACAATTATGAATCAAATTTTGCTAATTCAATCCTTTACTCAATAAACGTTGTCTATATAGGCCTAACTATTATTTGTACATTATTTATAGCATATTGCATAAGTTTTGTTTTTCGTTTACAGTATCGTATTACAAACGATACGTACACTTCAGTCTGGTAACGTTTGACGTTCTGAACAATTAAAAGTGTTAATAGTATAATTAGTAGGCTAGTAGTAAATTATGAATATTGCACATTACAAATTGTCTTGCTAATTGAGAAATTGGTAGTCTGAAAACTACGAGTTCATTTAAAATTTTCGTTAATATTTTATAGACACATCTACAATCATAGAATATAGTGTCCGATAAAATGTCTATATTTAACAGTACATTATAATCAAGTACATGTTAACAGGGGCGTAGCAGAGGGAGCTATTAAATACTAATTAAATACATTAACAATTTCAGAAATCGTTGTTTTATGCTTTCTGTACCGAAAAAGTAAAGAAAAAAAACAAAATCATCATAAGTATATATTGGGGAAATTTCTCAGACTACCGCTCATACATCTGAGAACTAGAATCAATATCTATTAAAGACCGGAAAACAAACTTAAACCTTAACATTTAGCATACACTGCGAACATCATAACACTAAACCATGAATTACAGTACGAAGTTGTCTAGTATAATGTATAACTCGCCATGTATGCGAAATGTTAAGTAACGGTGGAATTGATTGTTTTGTTTTGTTTTTTTTTTTGGTTTTTTTTTCTTTTCAGTTTTTGCCTAATATTTATTCATTGCATCATCTACCTTATTGTTATTATGTGTACGATTAAATCGAATGTCGTATCCGAAAATTTTGGTGTTACGTATCATGCTTATTGGAAACATCTGTTAAAAAAATTACGCCGTGTGCCAATTATCTCAGTGTTAATTTTCCCCTAACTTGTAAAATTTCACTTTGTTTTGATGTAGGAAGACCATTCAAAATCACTGGATTTAGTTGTGCAAATAATATACATTTTCAGTAAACACCTGTATTTGACCTGGTGTGAGAATGAGGTGGATATATGTATACGCGTGTAAATATGATGTAATATGCTAATAAAAATGTATATCGCAAATATGCTGCGCATGCGCTATTATGATTAAGAATCTTGTTTTCGTTATGTATGCCCACTTGAAAACAAATACAATAATATAGTGTGCACTGCACCCAATGCTAGGCCATGGGCTATGAGAGTGAAATGGGATAAGAGTTATGAATTCCGATTTCTTTTGTTTTACGATGATTTAGTTTGACAGTTCAAGTAATTCAGTAGTATTATATTATCGATATTCATATCTTGGTCATATGTTTCGGTCCGAATCTTAGTAGGTAGTAAAATATTTCAATGTGATGTTTGTTTTACTATTTGATGATCGAATATTCTCGTAAAAAGCTGTGACAGGTATTAACATGTTGGTTCAAGCATTGTCATAATTCTCTTTAGTATGAAAGTGAACTATAATCTGAACGATATACCCATTAGTAAAGTTAATATAATATTGGAGAAGTTAGTCGAAGCCGTGGTAAGGTTCTGACGGGGAGAGATCGCGACCAGTCCCACGCCCTCTATTGATATCAGATCGCCGAGATGTCCCACTTGCAGGAGGTTGTTTGCTGTAACGCAGTTCTCTATTGGCATGGAATCTTAGTGGTCTATCACGTCTGTCAAAATATGGCTCTTGAGCAGCAAACACATCCAAGGCACTTTGTGTTCGACCTGAAGCTCGTTTTATGTCACCGGAACTCCGACTCTTTACTGAAATGCTGTTTTCTGACGAAATCCTTTTTGTGTGAAATTCATGTCTATTAGATTTGTTTGTTCGGTAATTAAAATCTTTTCGAGCTTGTCCACTTTTGTCTTCATCCATTGTAAATTCGGTACTATGTCTTCTTTCTAATATGGGTGAATGGCTTTCATCTCTAAGTCGAGTTAACGAAGAGGCACTATGGGGGCGCTCCCGTTGGCAAGGAACATCTAAGAAGGACATACCTACCGGTGACTCAAACTCATAATCCCTATTCCGACCACTCTTGTTCTCTCTGTAGGATATTTTATGCTCCTCAAATGAACTACTTCGCTTTTTGTCAGATGTGTAAACGTCTGCTGGTGTATTGTCCTCTGCAAGCTCAATTGTTAATGTAGGTGAACAGGAAAACTTGTGAAAATGTCTTATTGTTGGGGAGGTCGAATCGATGGTATGTGATCGTGACTGGGATGAAAGTCTTGGTGAGTGACGTGGTGAAGGCCGGGATAACATTGGCGTTTGGTTCTTTGGTTGGTCATCGTCTGGTGCAAGGAGGACAGGTATAGACATCACTCTTGAATTATCGCTATAAATATTTCGCTTCATCTCCCCTCTTCCTCGTCCTATTCCGCCTCCTACAAAATGGTTTCCACTAAAAAATATTTCATCCATCTGTGGGGAAATGCAAGCTGTGTCAAGGCCACATTGTTTACTATGAGGTGGTTCGATAACCGATTGCTTGGTTCTACTTGGACTATTACGTATATCTGCTCTTGGAAGTTGTGGAGACCGTTTACCGACAGGTGTGAACGCACTACATCTATTACCTTCAACGGCATCATCGATATTTAATCGTATTTCTTCTGATTTTGTAATTCGATCCTTTTTGACTTCCACATCCAACCTCTCCGGTTCGCTTGATCTCCATTCTGGGATTGTGTCCCATGCCACCGGGGCTCGTACAACTTGGGTTATAGTTTCAACTGGTAAAGGATCGTCATCTAATATTCGTTTGCGTTCCTCGCGTAAGAACTCTTCCTCAATACTATCCTGCTGAAGTACAAATTTACGTGATGACATACGGCTTCTACTTGAGGACATACTAGGTCCAGATTTTCTCGTCCAGAATTCTACAGTGTAATCTTCACTAGCACTCCTCAGATCCGTGGGATCGGGGACTTCGAGGATTTTTCTCGGTGTATCAAGTAGTGAATCACTATGTTGTTTTCTGCTAATTCTGAGTCGTCTGTTTCGTCGTGATTTGTACGTTGCTGGCGTATCGAACATTGAATCCTGGCGGAGGAACTCTTTGAATATTTTGTCAGTCTTTTCGTCTATACTATAATCTCGTTTAAAATAGTACTGAAATCGGTCGTCACGATGACTCCTAAACAGTCTACCAAGCCTTCCAAATTTTCTACGAACTGATGATGATTCACTCTGAGAATCCGAGCCCAGGTTTACGGACGCATCACTGGCAGAGTCAAAGAATGTAGACGCAGATTGAGAATCAGCCTCACTTTCATCTTCTGGAAAGCTGAAGCTATCATCAATGGCTTCACCTTTTCCGGAAGTAAATTGTCGACGTTTTTTTGAGGCTGTACGGGAATCACCGCGTTTTCGCGTAAAATACTTATCAACGTCGTCTTCAACCTCTGTAGATGCATCCCTAACTAACGATGGATATTCCCGAATGGGACTGGACTCACTCGACAGACTTGGTACGTAGCTTTCGATACTCGTGCTCTCCTTGTCACTCATTGCATAAAGATAACGTTTTTGTTCAGACATACATTTTTGTTCAATTGAAGCATATCCGCTATCCCCTTGCATTTGACGAAGATTTCTGCCGCCTTCTCTACCAGAACTATCACCGGACTGTCCTTTGCTGCGATCAGAAGTATCCGACTCCTCTGTGCTAATACTACTGAACGCCAAATCAAAACTATCGTCTTTTGTACGGGCATGTAGTTTATGTTTCTGTTGAACCAATAACCGATCCTTGCTTTCATCCATGGAATGATATCTTCGTTTCATTGTGCTAATTTCATATTCCGGGTTAATATTTTCAGTTTCCTGAATAGCCGTAATCACTGTATCTGGTTCAGAGCTATTTGAAGTGGATTCCTCTAGCTCGAAGGTAGCACGGAGTTTCCATAGTTCTCGGTAATCTTGCTGCTTTTCTATACGGCTGAGAGTTTGATCTTCTACCTCGATTTCTGGAAGATGAAAGCCGCGACCAAATCCTTTGTTTTTAGAATCGATATAGTACTCGGCAGATAAAGGCCGAATGTGTTGTAACGTTGGTTTCGGTTTTGGAGAGTGAGCGCTTCGTGGACTGGAAACCCAGGGAGTCTGGAAAGATTGAGTCTGAGATAGTTCGCGTTCGTCATGAAGATAGACGTCTCTGTTAATGTACGGCTCAGCACTATCTAGTTTGTCGTCATAAGGATGTGACCGTCCTTCAATATCTTTATGAAATTGAACGGCCACTTCGCTCATGTGTGGACTCTCACAGGGGGAAGGTGTTCTTGTGATTGCTTGTTGAACCTTTAAAGTAGGCCTTGGTTTACATTCGGGGCTCACATGCTCTTCACTCCATTCTTTTAAGTCGTTTAGCCTCGCAAGATGCTCTATATCTAATGATCTCGCCCGACTACTGTACTGGTTGTTGAAATTTGGGCTTCCGTCACGATTATCACAATTGTCATCAGTATACCTAAAAAAGAAATAAACATTTATTATGAGTGATACATTATGTTTGTTCCATACATTTACTTTTTTTCAAAACTACACTAAATAGACCTTCATAAACCGATCGCTGCTTTCACAGTGAGGCCCCAAGATTTATTCATCATTTGCAGAATCGTATGACAATAAGTTTCACTGACTTCAGATTTTGAGGTCTTATTGTATGTGTATTTTGTGTTAAAGCACAGACTTCACAGATGATCAACGTCTGCAACCAATCATGCGTCTGGTAAAAGAATGACACTTAAAGGAGAAGAGAAAGAAGGAAAAGAGAGGACTAATTCGAGTGACATTAATAAAACCAATTTTGTAGTCTAAACTGCGCATGCCCGTATCCACTTTCAATTAAGTATGTGGTGTATTTATGTTTGTTTATATCGATTAACCTTGGTATCGGCATGCGCAGTTCAGACTACGAAATGGCTTATTATTATTACTTTGTTACCTCCTTTGGTAGTTAGGTGTTTTTCTTAATTTTGCTGACGGTTTCTGAGAGGAGTTTTTGATATGTGTACCAGGGGAGTCTTCAACACACACAGTATTGCCATTACTTGTCTGTCCCCTTTCCAGTGGTATACTAAGGTCGGACATTTGACTTTTATCTGGAAAATCTGGAATAATAACGTAAACTCTTATCAACTACTCTAAAAAATCATCTTATCTTCGTCTTCGTCATGTCTTTATTCTATTGTAATTATTTAAATTATTGTTTTTATTATTATTAGTATTAGTATTATTGTTGTTGTACATTTACCACAACACTACTTACCCAACAACGGTTCCATTTTCAACACACAGCTGGATCGATGGGAAGTCTGATGTTCATCTTCGCCGCTGTATGTAAAAAATAATTCTTGCGGTAATAAATATATTTTGGCGAACAATAAAGATTTTAATGAGAATCATTTTATACGAAGAGTAATACACTAAAATGTATTTAAACTAATTAATATGCCTACTTAAAATTTCACAATTAAATGTTTGAAAAAAATATTAAATTCGATTGAGACAGATCGAAAAACGAAAATCAGCTATACTAATACATCATTGTATTATATTTTAGTTTTCAAAGGCGTATACACAGTGTGGTGTAATCGAAACAATTCCCCTTAAATATTAGATTTAAAAATGTGTGGTCTATTTTATAAACGATTAAAATAAGTTGCAATAAAACTTGAATTTAATATACGTTTTCACATCCATAATTTACAGTTGTTTATCTATTAAAATTTTTGTTCTAAGGAACACTTCACAATTTAATTCTATTGCCCGAGTTTCTGCCAAAGATTGAGTCTCACCAAACAAAGCTCACCAGTTCTCAGGCAAAAACCCTTTTAAGATGTTGACTAGTGTGCGCTCCTTACAGCCTGTTTTCCACTATGCGAATTTAGAATTGAAAGTGTCAGTTCATGCTCATGCGCCTTTACATTTCTATCGGAGTTTTTCACTTCAGTGACATTAGTAGTTCAAACTGTTACTACTTTTTGCGAAAGAAAAAAAAGCGCAACCAATCATGAGCTCAGGAAGCGAACCGACGCTTTCGATTCGTGCGAATAAATTCGTCTAGTGGGAAAACAGGCATAACGGAGTCAGTTGTCTCAACATTTAAAGATATTCATAACAGGAAAGTGTTCCATAATGGAAAAAGTAAATTTACTTTATCCATGGTTCCATAATCCAGTATTTCGGAGGAAGAACGAGTAGGTGAAGAAAACGATTTTAATGTTAATATAATAGGCCAGTCTATTTGTGATTCGTAGGCTTTTTAACTTCGATCTCCAGTTAATCTTAATATAGTCTATGTGAAGAGGAAATCTATCTCCAATTGACCTTTCCGGAGTTCCAGTCAAAGTTAAAAGCTGACCATTCATAAATGGCAAGGAGGACTACGTCGTGCGTGACGTTCACACACACGTGTTGTTCCATATACTGTTCTTATTACGCATTCATCTTGTGTTACCTTAGCAGCAATATCCAAGAGGCGGGGCTTAGCGAAAAGGTTTATTCCGGTGTGTACGGTAATTTATCGAGGAAATTATTAAAAGCTCACAACTTAAATATACAAAGTAAGCTAATCAATTTAATTCTTCTGGTGTTTTATCTCAACAAACACAGTATATCATTAAGACTTGGATAGGGATGATAATTTCGGGCTGATAAATGAAATAGTCCAAGATAAAGCAGTATGTCAAGTTTTCCGTCACGTTATTACATTATCGTTCTTTCGACTAGCAAATCGGAGGAAACCTTTAACAATAATTCGACCTATTACATTTATTTTGTTTTTTTAATTGATAGTCACAAAGAGCAACAATCAAATGGACCTTTCTAAAGTATCAATCAACTTAACAACTGACCAATTCGAACAGTGCAAAGAAAACGCGCGTCCAAAAACCACGTGTTGTCCCACAAACGCACGCGTCCGCGTATGTTTTAACACTGTCGCGTCCTGTGTCACCTTAGCAACAATATCCAAGGGGTGGGGCTTAGTGGAAAGGTCCATTTGGATTTGTCATGACAGATACAAGAAAAGTATACACTTACCTATCATAGTTTTCCGATTCAGGTTTGAGGGGAACTTGACTTTCATCTCTGATAGGGGTGAAATGATGCTTTTCGCCCGTCAAGGGCAGTTCTACACTCATTCCACCTGGAAGCTGATACGGGGATCGTTGGTGCCTTTATAACAACAACAAAAAAATCCCGAAATATTGTTGGCAAAATACTAAAAATACGAATGATAGAATTATTCCATAAACAAATATTATTAGAATTGATGTTAAAATAGGGCTATGATATAGGGCTATGCATATTTGGTGGATTAATACTTGGGTTTTTGATTGCGTAACGACGAGACCCTATAGCACAGATTCACCCGTCCGTGACCATCCTGCGTCCTCTGAAGACCCAAAATTTGGTGCGCGCAGCTGCTTTTTCCACCAGGCGAATTTAAACCACGTTTAGGTCAAACGATAACAAGAACTCGACGTCATCGCATGCGCAGACAACTTTATGTGACATCACTACGTCCCTCATCTAACCATCGTTGTGCAATCTAAATCCGTGGGTGTCTACGACGTTTCTTTTGCCTTACGATGAAGTACCTTCTCTATGTTTGCCTCTCTTCATCCTGTAATATAATTGGTAGGATGCGGATGTTCTAATGCGGAATATTGGTCTCTGCCTTGAATATGTATCTGCGTGATTAGGTACACTCCCCAGGGACCTGTGGAGGTTGCAAGTTTCAGGGATGGCTGTTTATGTATCAAATAGCCAATAATTAATAATAAGCTCCGTTATCAGAAGAAATAATTCGTGGTAAACCTATATTATTGTTGTCATTTTAATTATTGTTACTGTAGTGTTATTGTTTTCGTGGTGGTGATCATCATCTTCATCATCTGTCATCATCAATTGAAAACTGAATTGAATTATATTATCATTATTATTATCATTATTATTATTATCATTATTATTACTATTATTATTATTATAATTATTAGTATTATTATTATTATTATCATTATTATTATTATTATCAACATTATCGTCGTCGTCATTATCAATATTATCATCATCTTCATCATCATTATCTTTATAATCGTCATCATAATCTTCTTCATCATCATCATCATCATCATCTGCATCATCACCATCAACATCATAATCATTATATTCCTCATCATCACCATCATCATCATATCATTTAGTGTGTGGCGAAATTCCAACCAGCGTTAATTGCTCAACAGTAGGCATAGTCTGAAGAAGAATACGCGCATACTGTAGTACCATCAATCGATGCCGAACATGTCAAATTACATACTCATCGATTACTTCAGAAATTAATTCACACAATCAATTAATTATAGATCCTGTTCCCGGACCGCCTCGAGCCGATGTCAAAGATAAACCTACGTTTGCCAGTGAGCTATTAGCTCTAATATGCTAACATGTTTTGGTGGTTTCATTCGCGTCTCGGTTTAATGTATCGATCTCCCAGCTTACTAATCGCGTTCTCATTGATTCTGAATATGAACGTGTTACGCCTACTTTATTAAATATACTCGTAATAAAAGGTCAGCGTACTACATATTCTTATATTCACTTAGGCCAAAGAATGCCGTGTTGCCCACGGCAACTTGGCACACAGTGGCACGGGATTACTTTTACAAAGACCTGATCTAATTCTGGACTTCATTACCCACCACCATTCAATACTTAAGGTACATTTTCTTTGCTAAAATCTATGATTACTGTATTATATTCAATAATTAAAGCTTGAAAACATTTTCAAACATCATACATGATTTTTAGAAGCTTCCTTAGGAAATCTTAGATTGGGTGGGCCGGGCTTGTCAACACAACGTTTCTCTAGCCTTATATACGAGGCTCAAGACAACACATTATTTACCAACCAACTAAATGATCAAACCACCAAATGATCAAACTCACCGCCATCGACAGAATTTCCTATTTTTCCCGATACAGTATTTGCAGCAAAATATGAGTGTGATAACCAGCGCCAGTCCACCGATGACGCCACAAACCAAGATGACCAATGGAAGAAGTGGTTTATCATTCCTCGCATCTACCTAAATATTAGATTTGAACAAAAATGTCAAACAACAACAGAAATACTTGTATGTATTTTTATAATAGTTATTTTACTTCCCACTATGTGAGCTATGTTTGCCAGAATAAGATGAGCTATGTTTGCATCCAAAAACAAGTTTGATCAAAGATTGTTTGTTGAGTTTCACAGGAGTAATGAT